TCCTATTATATAAACTCAAATACCATAGAATCCTATAGAATATCAACACCTCAGTTATTAAAAGTAATACAATATTCTTACGAAGTTTTATTTCAAGAAATATTGTTTACAGTAACCAGTAAGGATAGTGGAGTACCTGTTAATTATAGATATGGTATTATTCCTATAGAATATCTTATTATACCTCATAAAGTATCAATTGAATATTTTACAGATAAATATAATACTTTGCCTTATTACAGTGTCTTAAGTTATAATAATCTTAGTAAGTATAAAAAAGACTTTTATTTTATTGATGATAACACATTTTGTTTCAAAGTATTTAAAGATGAGTTTTATGGTAAAACACATAGTAACCAAGTTATATTAAAAGGTTCAAATAAAAAGTTAGTCAAAATATTTTCTAAGTAAAAGAATAAAAAATTAGTGAGTAAAAGGATATAATGCATTGGAGATATATAAGATTGACTTAGAATAGGGTAAGAGAATTGAGTAAAGTAAATCACATTCAGTTAGAATGATATAATGCATTGGAGATTATAATGTTGAGTAAGAATAGGGTAAGAGAATTGAGTAAAGTAAATCACATTCAGTTAGAATGATATAAGTAAGTATATTTGAAATATTCAATGGGAATATTAGAGGTGATATATTAAAAGAAATTAATTTTTATTTTATTTTACCTCCTAAATCAAACTAAATTCATTTTAATAAAATCTTCTTTAAATTTACAATGGTTTTTACTTCTTTAATACTTTATTAATTGTATTAATATAATTGATTATATTGAGAATGAAATATGTAAGTAATCATATTTAGAATACATGTGTGTTTATTAACTGTAAAAATCACTATTCATTTATGAGTATGTAGATATTTAAATATTTCTTTATATTTAGTAATTTATACTTTCTTTTACTGGTTAACGTGTGTAAAAAAGTATAGTGATTGCTAATATATTGTATTTAGGAATTTTTGTAATATATTTTTATAAAAATAAAATTTACATTTTTTTTTAGAGTTCTTCTTCTTTTATATCTCTTTAATGAAAAGTAGATTCGAAACGGTTATTTTTATAGTTTATTAATATAGATGAACAAATAATTTATGATATTTTGGAACTTCATTTTAAAAATTGTTATTAAAATTTTGCAATCAAATGTAATTATTCTCTATTTTTTTATTATTTTGTCAAAAATTCAAGTAAATGTTTGATTTGTGTAGCTCGAAGAGTATTATAATATTTTTTTATCTTAGGTTTCAGAATTTACAAATATGTATCGATATAAAAGGATGGGCGTATTTGAGGCCAATATTTCGATAACGATGGTTATTCTTGGAAAAAAATTTGTTTGTTTCAACTAAAAGTACGCTGATTGTTGATACTTAGCCTCTTGTACTATTCTTTACGTGGGTAAACCTTTCTTAACAGATCAATGTTTATAGCCAGGTGATTAAAAATATTATTTAAATATGAAATATTGAGTTGTTTATCTGATTCGTTATATTTTAAACCAATAGCTTATATTCTTTACCTAACATTCTAATCTCTCTGAATATTATAGCTCTATTTTTTTGCAGATTTAATTTTAAATTATATTAGATTATAGTAAGATTGGTTTTAGGACTTTATATTACCAAATGACGGCTGTTGGTTTACATCATGAAATTTAATTGCTTCGGCAAATTGATCACTAAAATAAATAGATTTTAAATATCTGTCGTTTAATTCACTGCTTTTATATTTGATTGGAATTTAAATTTGTATTTCTAAATTAGATCAAGAGAACTCATATTAAATTCACAATACACTTAATTAAGTTTTTTTGGATACTTATTAATTGCCGATAGACTCTTAATCTAATGCATAGTAGAATTAAAGAAAGTTTATAAAAAAAACCGAAAAAAACTAAGCATTGTTTTAGAATTTCATTATATGGTTAAGCCAATATACTTTATTAGGCTATAGAAGATATCTCTTTTAAAAATATACTATCGAAATTTAATTTGTCTTTTATATTTGTTTAGAAATATAAATACTCTCAAAGGCTTGGATTACAAATTTTGGTTTTAGTAATTAGTAACGTATAAATATTTTAATTTTTCTTATAATCGAAACATCTTCTTCAAAGTAAAACATAGACTTTTAATAATATACTTTGAAAAAAATAAAAACTTAGTGATAAAAAAACAGAGTATAAAATAAAAAAGGCAACATTTAGAAACAAGATTAACTCATAAAATTATTTTTAATAACTATCACTATCAAACCATTTCATAATCTTTAAAAAGAACAGATACACTCAAATTAATTTTGATTTCTTCTTGTATCACTATCAAACCATTTCATAATCTTTAAAAAGAACAGATACACTTAAATTAATTTTGATTTCTTCTTGTACCGCCACACCCGTCTCAAAAAATACACTCATAGAATTTTTTACATCCTTAATAAACACATCTACCAACCCAAACGGATCTTTTTCTTTTCTCATTTTTTTAAAATAAACTAAGCTTTCCTTTAAATAAAAAATACATCCATTATACTCCTGAAGTATAAAATGCAATTGTATTCTATATTTTACATATTCAACAAAAATATTAAAAAAATTCCATTTTCGTACTTTTTTAATAAAAACCATATCTTTAGATTCTTTTAAAGAATTATTTTTTTCAAAAATTTTATTTTCTTTTTTAATTACTAACGGTATTAAAGTATATTTACTCATATTAAAATTATTAGAAACATTTTTGAGATTTGATAGAAGGGTTATACATTTTTGTAATTCAATTTTATAAAATAAAATAATATTTTCTGATATTTTACTACTCAAATAAACGTTATTATAGGTAAGTGATTGCTGTAAATATTGATTAAAATAAAATCTACGAATTTGTGTGATTGGATTGCTTATATAAGAAATACTTAGAGGGGACAGAAGTGACTTGTTAAATAAACTATATGTGTATATGTAAAGAGTATTGGTGATATAGAAATGTAGATTCATAAAAAATATTATTAAAAATATTAAAGAGATGTAAATAAGTGAATTATAAACAGATATTATAAATGTTAGGGTAAAAAAAGAAATAAAAAGTATTTTTGTATTTCTTACTGTCACCATAACGATTCTTTTTCTTTCTTTTTGTAAATATTTGAATAATCCAATATTTTGAGTGTAAATCAAGGAAAATGAAACATGGTGGAGAGGAGTTGAGATAGAAATAAGAATTATTGTATAAAATATATTTTCTTTTAAGATATACGGTGGGATATAAAATAAATGTGAAATGAAAAGAAGTGTAAGTTGAGTTACAAAATATACATTTTTATATGAAAAAGTAGGAACGGTGGTATTTAAAAAATGTTGGTAAGTCAGATAAAAAATAGAGGATATAATAATACGGATAGGAAATGTTCTAAACGGATTCAATATTTGAATAAAATTCAAATTGTTTATTGCGTTAAAAAAACAAGAAAGAATAAAAACCAAAGGAAATATTTTCAGTAAGGATTTAAAAGAATGTATTTTCATATCTTTGTTCATTTATAAATCAGGGGGTATTTTCTAATAAAAAAATATTAAAAATTAAATGATTAAAAAATAATGAATGAGATAGGAAAAAAACGAATTACAATAATTAATTGGTATTTGAAATATATATTTCAATTAAGAAGACAAAGAAAATAGCATGTATAACAAATAATAGAATAGATAGACTTTGTATCTTATAAATGGTTTAAAATAATATTTAATTTGAAAGAAACCTAAAATTTTAGAACAAAATTTTTACAGAAGCGTAATGAAGAATAAAAAAGGTCTAATTTGTGTTAATTACGTAAACCAAAAATACTATTTTAGGTTTTTAATTCATAGAAATTTATCTTGAAAAAATTCGAAATTTTTACACAATTGGGTGTGTTAACGAGTATATAAAATTACAAATTTTAACTAAATTTTTTTTCCAAATAAATAAATTTGAAATAGAAATTAATATAAATAATGAAAGAGGTGCAAATTTTAAATAATAAGTTTTATTTAAAAGTATCACATCTTCTTAAAAATAGTGGCAATTGTTATATTTGATTTCATCACATTAATGTAGTTATAGTTTTAACATAAAAAACTGCTACCCCAACATTCCATCAGTACCCCTTGCGATACCTAGGTCCCAAAGCCTTTCATCTACCAGGTGTGTAGAATCTAATTAATAGGCGAGGCAGTTGCCCGAAGTTCGTTAATGTCCGTTGCATGGGGTGTGATCGAAGGCCGAAGCCCCTCCTAAGCTTCCCAAGACTATGCAGCCTTCCACTTACTCTACACTTTCTGAACCTAATGAACTTCTAGCTAATATATATTTCATAGATTTACACGGGGTTCACCTAGACAGTAAAATGTCATACCTACTGGTATAACCTGCTACGCAGCTCTCCCGGCTTTAAATGGTTTTTATTTTTATATCTTCCAGGCGCTAAGACTTCTAAACCGAGTATGCAAGGCTATATTTTCCATGCTTTTACATGGCAATTACCTACATGTTTGACTGCGGCCTTTGACCCAGTTATATAAAAAACTACAAATAAATTTGTAGAAAAAGTTTTGCCATTTTGTAGACCTATCCTCCTCATACAAATCCCATTGAATAACCGAAGATGTAGTGTGGTTTTATTCCCACCAAAAATCCAAACAATTATCTTATCACCACTTTCACACACTCATTGTCGAACAAAAAGTTTTTTTATCTTGTTATTCTCCTCCACCAATAAGTATTAATAAAGAAATATTTTTAAAAATATTAAATTTTATTTCTTCTTAAAAAATATCTTTTTATACTACAGGTCTTATTAAACAGGAAATATTTTTCAAAATGAAAATTTTTATTTCTTATCTACCATTTTTACAGGAAAATACAAGTTTTATTTTCAAAAAGTTTCTATGTCAACTGATATCCGATTTTTTGTTATTTTCTTAAAAATTATATGTATAAAAATACAAAAATGCCCACGCCGAGTATCGACCTCGGGTCTCCACGGCCACAACGTGGTGTACTACCATTATACTACATGGGCCGAAAACAAATTAAAAATAACTATTCTAAATTTTAGAGTTCGTAACATGTTCTTTTAAACATTCTTTTACATTTAAAATAGATCTATTTTCTTACTAAATATTTCTATGTTTCTCGTTAAAATTTGCTTTCTATTTTTACGAAAACAATGACATCTAAACGTATTATAAAATTATTCTTAAATGACTTATATTATTTTTTGCAAGACTACATAAATTATTTTTATTTGTTATTTATCTAATATGTGGTTTTTTGTTTACTTCTTTGTAACCATTTTTTTATAAAATTCTACTTAAAAAGGTTTAAATGACAACTATAATATATCTACTTTTCAGGTATATTCTCATAGAATATATACAAAGTTTAATATTTATTTAGAATTTTTTGGCTGACAGTGAATATTCGCATCAAGTACTTTCTTACTGAGAAATATTGGATAAAATTCGCATACGCAATCGTAATTTTTATTTTCGGCAGAATGAACCTACACTAAGATTTCGGCTGTTCGATGGGAATTTTTATAAAGTGAAGATCGTCTACAAAACGAAGAAACCTTTTCTAAAAATCCATTTTTTCTTGTAACTATATTGTAAACCACGGCTAAATGCTTGAAAATTTTCATGTAAAAGCATAGAAACCGTACCTTGCTCATTTGCGTTAAAAGATTTGGTGCCAGGAATATAAGAACATAAAAATTCACTTTCAAAAGCTAGGATTCTAAAGTATAAAGCTGTAACTGCTTGTTTGGCTTGAGCTTTTAGATAATCTTATACAAGTCGCCTAAGTATTGCAAATCTTAATATTTATTTCGGTAAGTGTAGAGTAAGTGAAAAGCCGCTGGTATTATGGAATCCGATGACGCAGTTCTATTTAAGATTTTATCGGATTATAGGCAAACGAACTTTGGGCAACTTTCCTATCGCTAAATAGATTCTATACATATTTTAGATGAAAGGCTTTGAAATGTAGTCTCTATGGGATGCCAAAGGAGTATCGAGGAGCAGTTATATGCAAAACTGAATTGTGTTAACATCATTAAAATAATATAACACTAGTATATATTAAAAAAAATGTGATATTTGTTTAAACATACTTACTTTTTAGTTTCTTTTTTATCTCTCGGCTTCCAGGATAATGAATAGAAGTTTTCATTTGCTTCTTTTAATATGTTGTAAACCGGTAATACATGTGATTAGCCTATAGATCCAGTGTGGATTATATATCCTCGAAATGGACATTGATGTTCACAGCAATTCTACACACTCATTAGCAAGCAGGTAATTTTTAATGTGGTTAGACTACTTCCAACTATTTTTTTTAAAAAATTATATAAATATACAGATTTTTATACTTCAAAAGACATAATAATTTGAAATTGTCCTATAAAATTTAGAATTAATTTAAGATAAAAAAAGGTAATCCAATATAAACATTTATAGTTTTATTTTCATATTTTTAAATCGATTTAAATTACAAATAAGATTCTTAATCTTACTATTTTGATTTCTTAAAATTATTTTCTTGAGTCTTTTAAAAAGTTTAATTTTTAAATTTACCACTTTTTTAAGTTTTTCATCAAAATTTAAAGAAAATTTTGGTGAATATTTTTGTATTTCTTTAAATGTTGATTTATATGTATCATTTATTAGATAAAGATTTCGTTCTGAAGAAATGTATTTTGTTAAACAATCTGAATTATTTGAATTGTCTGTAGTACATGAATTAGATGAATGAAGTAGATTTTCATTAAGAAATATATTGTTTGTTTCCTCTGTTCTTTTTATTGATGAAAGTGAATCGGTAGAATTTAAATATTTGGTTTGTTTAATAAATGGATTTCTCATTTCTTCCGGTTTCTTTATCGATGAAAGTGAATTACTAGATTGAGGCTGTTCTTTATATGATTTATAGTGTTCTGTATTTGAAATTGGTGTTTTCAGATTATTTTGTATTTCCTTTTTAGTTTTTTCCTTTCTTTTTTTTGCTGAGTAAATTTTATTTTCTTCTTTCTTATAATATTTGTAATTACTCTCACTCGATTTAAATTCTGTATTTTCAATTTTATTTTCTTCATTGTATTTCGAATTGCAAGAATCTTGACTGCTGGTATGCTCGATAGTACTTTTTGAAATTTGAATGGAATCTAAAGAAATTTTAGGTCTTTTGTATTTATTCGTAGGTAACTTTGAGAAAGAATTTTTAGATTTTAAAATATTTAGTGATTTCTTACTTTGAGGCTTGTTCAAGCTTCTATCTTCATTTTCATCGTTTGTTTTGGCAATAAAATCGAATTCATCGGAATAATTTCCATTCCTTTGGTTTTTTGTATTACTGTAATTTAAACTTTCACTTGCTTCACTATTTTTATTCGATTCATTAGAAGAGTTTTCACTAAGTTGATTTTTTTTATTAAAAAAACGAGAATTTCTATTCATTTCGATATTTTTATTAGATTCATTAGAAATACTTTCACTTGGTGGATTTGTTGTATTCATTAACGTAGTATTTTTATTTGGTCTATAATTATCGTGTTTGTTACTATTTTTGCTTTCTTTAATACTATTTTTTAGTTCGGTAACACTTTTTTTTAATTCCTCAATATTATTTTCTTCCTTGGTTGAATTAAAATTTTGCAAATTTATACTTAAACTTTGATTTTCTAATTTATTATCCTTGAATTGGTTTTGATGATTGGTTTTATTTTCTTGATTATTACATGCATTGATACCAAAATTATTTTCTAATTCTGTTGAAGTAGCGAAAAATAAATTATTAGTCTTTGTTTTACAATTATCATGAGGCTCACCATCAAAATCATTTAATGATTTTTTAAAATAACCATTTTGATGTTTTACACTTTCAATATCATTTATTTCTTCAAGAATTGGAGTAATTTTTGAATTATTAAAATTAGATTTTATTTTTAATTTAATATTGTCTGTAAGTTGAATTGCCTTTGAATGATTAAAATTTTCTTTTTCTAAATTTTTGTCTTCTTTATTAGTTAAAGATTCTGAAACATTTAAAATTATTTTTTTATTATTCGAAGGACTTTTCTTAACACAAATATCATGTATGGGTTGAGATATTTTACTTGTCTTAGGAGTATTTATACTTTCAGGTTTAAAATATTCAACATTTTTTTTCTGTAATTTCTTCTGTATTTTTATATTTTCTAAATTATTTATTTGTAACAATTCTATAATCATATTTTCATTACTATTAAGCTTAAATTCCAATCTATTATTTTTAATAGAGAAATACTTTAAAGAAGAATATTTTACAATAAAAATCTTATTAGTAAGTATCGTTTTGAAATAATTGTCACAGAAAAATAAAAACATGTTTTTGTTCGAATGTTGTTCATTTAAATATAAAAATTTTGAAATTTTATATCCAAATACAATTTCATTTTTAAAATTTAAAATTCTTAAAAATTCTAATGATTGATTATTAAAATTTCTTGAATTTATTTTGAGAAAATGTGATGTCAAAGATAAAAAATAATTGTTTTCTCTTTCAAAAATACTTCCTGGAATACTTTTATAAATTATTTTTATAAATTCTTCTTGTTCATCAACAGAACGACACTTTAATAATATTTTTCTAATATTTTGTGTTTCTTTTAATAATATTTGTTTTATTAGAATTTTTACTTTTTCATTTTTTAAATTCGTATTTATTTTCTTCAGATCATTTAATTCTATCTTTTCTCTAAAAATTCGTTGAATGGTTTGTTTCATTTCATGCATGTTTATGCATTAAAATTTATATTTATACTTAAATGCATAAAAAGTAATTTAAGAATTATGCTATATATAAACACATTAAATAATCCAAGTTCAACCCAAACACACTAAATTAAGCTTTTTACTGAATATATTGATTTATTTTTCTGCTTTGGTTTATATCAGTGTAAATTTATATTTTCTCTCATTATATAATTGCTTAGATTCATTAAATATACGTTGATTTATTTTTCTGCTTTGGTTGATATCAGCGTAAATTTATATTTTCTCTCATTATATAATTGCTTAGATTCATTAAATATACGTTGATTTATTTTTCTTCTTTGGTTTATATCAGTGTAAATTTAATAAATCTAAAAAATTATATAATGTGTAAAAATATAAATTTAAAAATCTGTAAGTCAGTTATTACTTTAATAAATACCTTTAAATATTCTAAGCAATTAAAATAAATTTGTTCAAAACGAAATTCAAGGAAATATTTCTCTATTAATTAATTAAAAAATAATTTAAAAAAAAAGTTCTTTAAAACCAATTTTACCAAAATAAGTAAATTAAATAATTTATTTCGTTAAAATAAAATAAATATTTTTTTTAGCCGAAATTCTATTGTAAATATTACTGATTCAGTTCTCTTTTACCTTTTCAGTGTAGAAGTTGAACAAAATGAAGTTTTCTTTTTGTTTTTTTAATCTGTTATAACTCTAAATTAAAGGGATTGTACTATAGATCGAATGTGACTTATATCCCATCAAAATAGAAAAAATAATTTTCAGACCATTTCTACACACTTTTTTCCAACCAAATGGTTTTTTATGTGGTTATCATCCCTACACTTTTTATTGTAAATCTACGAAATAATTTAGTATAAATTATAAAATTTATAATTGTATACTCCAATTCCCATGAATTGTACACATTTAATTGAATAATAGAATTAAAAGTTACTTTAAGATTAAATTATAGAGTATAGATTACTAAATGAAGTTTACAAAATATATTTTTATTCTTTTAATTCGGTAATTAATTAACTACTAAGTGAATTTCTATGTAAAGAAATGGATATAAAATTGGTAAGAAATATATTTGATTTTATAATTTGGCAACGAAAAATATTGAAGAATAATTTAATTGTTAATAAAAGTTGAGCAAATAAATAACATAAAATCAAAACTGTAAATGGTAAATGGGAAATATTTAAAAACAGGTGATTTTAATAGATATCATTTTTATATTTATATTTTTACAAATG